CCCCCCCCCCCCTCACTGAAGTGTAAGTGTAAGTGTTGAACCGTTCAACCCATCCGCTAGGTAGCTGTTGGTGGCCCAAAGAGGAGGAAACAAACACCCGCTGTCCCGGGTAAAGCAAAGGGTCCTTTGGGTCATGGCGCTGCCTGTTTCGTGTGGGGGGTGGTGAGCGTTTGTTGTTGGCCATGTTGTCTCTTGGCGCGTTTTTTTTTTTTAGTAGCCTGCTCGTGTGGTGTGCAATCATATACTTGTTGAAGTACTGCAGGGTATGCATACATGTGGCAGCTGAAGGCTTGAACGGAGTTCGCGGGGGTTGCTTTGTCTCGGTTAACCACGATATGCATGCAACATATCTGGACGCGTGTGCGTTTGTGACACACATGCAAACTTCTCCGCCCAGCAATACCCTTAGCGGGGCACTTAGTGATTTGCGAGCAAGAGGCGTAGGTGCGTACGTGTCTTGGGACGGTTGAGTGCAATTAGTTAAGATCACAGCAGCCAACAAAGAACATGATAGTACAAACACGAAGCCGTTCGTGTGTTTCTGACCATACTGTTGTCGTCAAACTCCGAATATCGGGCCGCGGTCTAAGTGGACGAGCAAGAACGCTCAACGTAAACACCTACCCTTCCGCAGACCACGGGGCGTGATGTTGTCCATGATTGCGCTGCCAAAGCGGTTTTACGGGTAGTTTCCCCAACACCTCACTCGCCCACCCTGTTGCAAAGGAACAATGGATGTGGCACCCCGCAAAGGTAGTTTGAATGACTTTCAGCAGTATGATCAAGTTGATGCGATTACAACAACCCTCGCGCATGCCGCCAGAGGACCAAAACCCGGCAACGCTTTTGTAGCGACAAAACAGAACGGCGTGTCCCTTCACCCATCTATGTCTTCGGACGAAAATATAAGGCGGGCTTTCAGACTCTGCGCTGTTCAAGCCCCGGCCTAGACTATATACACTTGCAGCAACAACTTATTCAATTGTCAATGCTTCATGATGCGATGGCAACAACGCTGATAAGTGGCTGATCGTGTAGCCCAGGCCGAAAGCGTTTACTACATGCCGCTTAAGGCCGACTGCGGCTCCCCTTGGGATGCCTCAGCAAGGTTGTCGATAGACGCCTCCACTTTTCGCGACTTCTTTTCTGCCACAGTTGACAACTTTTCGGTTTCCTGCGAGTCACGAAGAAACAAAGGGTTGTGTTTGGACGCGAAGAACATCTATCTGTATGCACACCTTCGCCGGCGTGGAAATTGTCATCCTGAACAACAATTCAAACCTTCGACTTGAGTGTTGCGTCGAGCATATTCGTTTGTCCAACCCTTTGTAAGAGGTGAAGGCTGCCATAGTTTCCCGTGGAAGGGAAGGAAGGGGGTTCGGAGTATAGTTCCGATCGTGGAGAAACGCCCCCGCTAGCGACCCATGATGAATGCTGCAACGTCTGAAATCAAATTGTTGTTACTACCGTACAGTGTGTCCACGTCCCAGAAAAAAAAACATAGAGCGGGCGACCCCCCTGATCGCAGCAACAGTCCGTGAATTGTAGGAGCCCAGCCGTTTTCGTCACGGATCGCTTCGTCTAAGTGCGGTGACAAAGCTCGCAACCCTCAAATTAGGTTACGCGTAGC